AAAGCTAAGGCGCGCGGTCCTAATAATACTGAATAACTAACATTAAAGCCAATTGTGGAGCAAAGCCTGACGTCTCACATTTACAAAGCTTAAATTGCTCGTGTAAGAAAGAGACAGCATCACAATGCAGTTTGGTTAACTTCAGATCTTGCTCTGGACTAGCAGCTCTTTTCAAGGAAGTGAAACGGTTCAAATAGGGGTACGCAGGAGCAACTTCGCAATTATGGCAAATTCATAAATGTTCTATTATGGTTTATAAATGGACTTACTTTTACAGGTAACAGGCATGGAAAGCTTTTCCGTTTTCACTCGCATTCATTCCCATTGAGTGGCGTACATTCTTCATCGAATTGAGAGCGGTTACTTATGCTATGTAGTGTTATAAGCAAGTCGCACGAGACACGACGTCACTGGTTATTACGGTCTTATCTTAATCACGACGCGGTTACACTTGCTAATTTAAGTAACTTCAATGTTGATGAAAACCAACTGTTTTCGCACTATGTAAATAACATTTTTTCGTCAAAATATTAATAAGCCGGATTTACTTTTGACTGACGTGTCGTGTCGTGACGCGTCAGAACGGTTATCGGTGCAGGCTTTCACCGCTGCGATCAGCCATTCATCCTTTGTGGTCGCAATAAGATTACAAGAATTCGCACCCCTCATGGAAGAACGGCGTAAGTGGAATTACATCAAACATGTTTATTGCTTCATTACATACAGAAAAACAGGTGAGGATGTGGGTTATATTTTTTTGTATCCAATTGGGGACGACGTGGGTTATATTTTTCTGTATCTAATGAAGCAAGAAACATGTTTGACGTAATTCCACTTATGCCATTATTCCACGAGAGTTGCGGATTTTGTAAAAAGCTTCTAATTTCGATTTTTATAAAGCAGACACACTCTTAGCCACAATCTCACCATTGCCAATTTCAATGTACACATTCGGAAGCAAGTTTATATACATTCGTGACATCTGATAGTCACCTATCTTAACAGAGAAATGCCCACAAGATCTGAAGTCAACGTACCTCTGCATTGTTAATCAAGCTGCGAGCTCCTTAACCAATGAACGAAGAGGTCCCGCGCACCGTCACTACCTTAGGCTTACAGTTACCTGTATCATATCGTTAAAGTTAAAATACACATATACATGTTAACGTTGAGATTTAAAGATTATTCCGCTATTAAAGAAAGTTACATACATTTATTGTATACATGTTAACAGACAGGGGTCGGTCAAGTCGCGCGGAAGACTCAACTGGCAAAATTCTCTTTACACAAAAATATAAGATGAGGTTTTCAAGTTCCTGGTATTTCTTCATTAGGTATGTAGTTTCCAATCATTGTAAAGTGATTAGCAAACCTGTTCGACTCAAACTAAGCAATGCATTATGATCGGAATAGGGTGTTCCAAATGTGTAGATAAATGTTTAAAAGGAATTGCATAATATGATACCGCCTTTACATCATCGGGAGAATAGATGTGGGCTGGGATTCCACCCCTATGTTGTGGATATTCCGCGGTTTCGCACGAAGCATTTCGCTTCCACATTTATATAACGAGCGGCTAGGGAGTGCAATTCCCATTCTACGGTCTTGTTCCCCGAACACTATAATTTGGACCTGTTCAGTCGAGAGTGAATAGGCATTATTTAGGTGTGCATGCTATATCGTCGAGCTCATCATCACTTTCCATCAGGTAAGATGCAGGTCAAATGCGCACTTATTTTTTTATAAAAAAAAAACAACGACATAGAATGATTAAAACCACCAAATAGTAATGAGTTACTTTTTTCGAATTCCGGATTTCCAGAAATAGTTGTACTGCATCGTACGATTTAACTAATGCGTAATATTATAGATAATTTTACACTTATGGAATGCAAACTACCCCTCGTTAACCAACCTCATCCCAGGTACGACCTCTGGCGTCTGTATTGGTAGCACTGAGCGAACAATGCGATATAACTAAATATAAATAAATAAATATTAGACAACATCACATACGTTGCTTTGATCCAAAGTGACTAAAGCACTCGTGTTATGGAAATCGACGACAACAACAACGACGATAAAACATAATTAATTAATATTTGTTGGTTTTAAGACTCGATACAAGCTCAAATGATGTTGATTCTGCATAACAGTGAAAATGTTGAATCAATCACTTTGGCAAAAATATATAGTGAAATTGTGGATATACATCGATTATATAGCATACGGTGTGAAAAGACTATTCGAAATAAATTCCACCAAAAAAAAAACACAATCTTACCTCGAAATTTTACAAGAAAACTCCTGTATTCAATAGTTTTCGTTAGACTTTATATATTTTATTTTTATATGAACTGAACGAAACAGAACACGTTTAGTATACGATATACATTTTTCAAATGGCCTTAATTTCGTTTGTAAAAAAAATAAATTCTACGGGAAAATTTTGAATTCGAGCTGGGGTAGTGTCGACTCTTAACCACTTCTTGTATGTATATGTAAACATTTATCTACTCATTTGAAACACCCTATACCAACCATTGATTATAATAAAAATAATACCCGATTACCTTGTCTCAAGCAAGAAGATTCCCGCACTATGAGAACTAGAGCAAATCTGGGGCTATACTCCACAACACCCAGACAAGAACTAATTTAGAAAGTTTCTCCAATTAGTTCTACCAAGAATATAGCCCTCACAATACTAAAACCACGTAACATAAGTGAAGCTTCTCAAATTTGTTCTACTTAGCTGGGACCTTTCGTGAACCCAAAATTTTTATCCACAGAGCTTGGAGTTATATTTCAATGTTCCCTGCAAATAGTCAAATGTTTTAACAGTGTGTAAAATCCCACAACATTGGAAACCCACATCTATTATCTACAGCAATAGATATGCAAATTGACTGGACAAAACAGAAATAGACAACTCTAAAATTCAACAACGCTATAAATGTTTAAATTAAGCAACGTCTTTAGTTAGATTTTAAATATTCAGCTATAATATGAAAATCTATTAAAAAGATCAATGCTGAGTGGTGAATCCAGTTCTTGTTAAGAAACTGCTGGCAATAAAAATATTATTTTTGCTGTTGTACAATAAACAGAAGGTACTTATAGTTTCAACAATTATTTATTTTAGTTTCGTTACCCCAAAATCTACACTTCAACTTCTTCTTAAATTAACAAAACAACAAAAACGAACTAAAATATTAGTTACTAAGCCATGGATAAATATTTAAAAATGTAAAAAGTCCGCGCGACCCGCCAAGCCGCAAACAACAGCGCCTAAGAAAGAGATAACAACTTTTGGATATTACCCATAAACACACAGGTATTAATATTACACGTTTTGTTTACAATTATTATACTTTATAACCTATCCTCTAAAGGCTGCTTGCAGAGACAATTTCAACCATACACAAAGGTTTCAGAGCTCTAGACACTAGTTGAGAAAATGTCTCGGCAACAACGCACTAAAGTAGTTATTGTACCGGAGGCGGCGCGATGTGCCCGTGCGCACATAAGCTAGTGTTGTCGAGTCTACAGTGCTAAATTTAGAAAAAATCTACCATTGCAGTAGATTTGCAGCTTACATAAGATTTTTCTTGATTCGCAGATATGTGAACGGCTTTTTTTATTAATAATAAATATGCGTCTGCCCAGAGGATACAGACTAAAGCTACTTTCTCACTCGCGCCAACAATCGCTCGCGCAAGACAGGATAGATATACAGGTACATACATCGATCGAAAAGGCACTAAAGAAGACATGATGTGCCAGAGAACTAGCGTCCCAAAAAGCTTTAGCAAAATGACGAAAATCGCTTGACATAATTACATATATGAATACTCACAAACCATATTATTAAGAACATCGGCAGTTCGGTTCTAACCCAAATGCTTTTAATTACGGATTTACCTTAAAAGTAGCATAGAAAATTAAGCTTGCCGTGGTAGAAATGTTCTTTGGAAATTTAGAGTATGTTGCGACCTTTTGTTAAACAAAATCTACCATTTTGGTAGTATTTCTACGTTGCGAATGACACTAATGCCTTTGCACGGCCGTATCGGATCCGGGTCAGGGGATTTACTCTCGACCTCCGTCCGACATCCGTCCGAAACAAATACTGTCAAATAAGTAATATCCAGTATGAAGCTTCATTCGCATCGTGCGTCTTTTCATTTGGTCAAGTATTGCTTATTTGGCAGTAATTGTTTCGGACGGATAGAGCCCCACACCCGAATCAGAATCGTACCACCACACGAAGACAACATAAATATAACAAACAAGAATCATACAAACATACAAAAATGCATAATAATTACAGTTGTACTTCGATCGCCATCGAATGGAATATAGTAACGTTTGTAATTTACAAAATAGTGACGCTGGTATCAGCATATATTTGTCAGCACGTTTCAGAATCGAAACGACACAAAAAGAAACAACCCAACTAACTAAACTGAACGAAAACCACTGAACTTTATTCATAGCAAAATTGTCAATTATGAAAATTGCTGAAGCATTCTGAACTTCAAAACTTGAATAATAAAGAATATTTTTCAAAAACTAGATAATTCCATTACTACGAGTACAACAGTATTTTTTTATTATTCTGATGATAAGCTGCCTGCCTCTCCGTAACAGTTGCAGTGCCACTCAGAGCTTTAAATCGCAAAGATCTAAGACAGAAGTTGACAAGTCCTCAAATTTAATTAATTATGAGTGCGCACTTAACACTTTTTAAAGTTCCTACATTGGGTACATTGGGAATGGAACATGAGACCGCACTGCTCAACCGATGAGGCAACGACGTTTTTACTCGTTATGCGTCTCATAATAGACCGATGTTATAATCTGTATTATACCTGGATTAAATAAATGAATGTATTTTCATTTATTTAATTGATTATTAATTATTGCAATAAATAATATTGCAATAATTAATGAAATATTATTTATTGCACATTAAAATTACAATGACAACACAGAACAGCAATGCAAGTATCACAGAGTAAGCCAATGTACAACAGGCGGCCTTATTGCTAAGTAGCAATTTCTTCCAGGCAACCTTAGGATAGAAATTTAAGATTTGGAAAGGGCAAAATGTACCCTTTTAAAGAACTAAATTGTCACTATTTAGTGCTCTTGATAATGAAACGCGCTGACATATTATATTGATGCCTAATTAAAACATAATGAGCTAAAATAATTACCAGCTACCAATAACGTGCTTTCTATTACATCCCGCAACCTTACAGAGGTCACCCTGCATGAACACGTTCAACACATTTGTTCTACCCATCACTTCAGGGACTACCTCTCGCAAAATACCGCTAACTAAACTAAAGTAAAAATATATATAACGACAATTAAATCCAATTGTTTCATAGTGTAAAAACAATCTATACGGCGTCGATTCGAAGCAATCGATTTTCGAGAAGACGACGTCGAAATACGCCTAATAAGGCCCGGGCCTTAATACCACGTTACGTCGTTATTGAAAAATAAAATGTAAGTTTTGGGAGCTAAGTAATATACAAGTACATCTATGATTAGATATTAACACAATAACTATGTGATGCCTATTCAAAATATCAGTATTATGTTACATGACAAATACAAAAACAAAATCTATTGACTGAATGGAAAATGACAATGTACAAATAATTATTCTGTGTATTTGACAAACACAGCCGCAATTTTGATGCTGGATTCAGTCGTGCTTCAACGCTGCGTAAACAACGTTCCCGTTTATACATGGAGCAGTATTTTTATTAGACATACCAACGCTATACTAAGCCAGACTTCCGCTGATACGTAACAAAGCCGTGTGCAGCGAAACTCGAAGATTAGTTTAAAATTCATAGACTATACAATTCTCATTGACTGATCTTCTTGTCCGACTGTATATTCTAATTTCTTTAGCTCGTCTTCAAATACACAGAAAACTATCAAAATAATATATGTAGAATAACTAAAGAACTATACACAGAAGCTTTAGGCCTCATTAGCAGACAATAGTCAATATATTACAAATTCTACAGTCATATACACACGAATGATATTTCTATGACATGATGACGCCGTCCAGACACAAGGACTTTTATTCCAAACCATTTCGCTTCAATGAAATGTGCCGACCAAGTAATTCGATAGCGAAAACGATATCGAAAATATCATAATAGGACCCTTTCATACCCCTTTAAAATTGACTAGTGATATAATTTCTAGATTATTCGCGCCACCAACATTGTTGTCTATTCGAACAATATTTATTTTCGCTATTATTGTTTTATTACGTGGATACATTATTTGTGAAAGCAATGAAGCTATGATATCGTTACTTAAACAAATGGACGAATTATCAAAATGCAAAGCGAAAACTTGGTCTTTTAAAAATCACGTGGGAATTATAGATGTCTTCGTAATGTCAGCGAACACTGGTAACCGTGATAAATAAGGCGATATATTAAGCAAACCTTCGACAACCACTAATTCGATACGAGACCGACAATACCGTCTTCTACCACCATCGATGCAAGGACCAATTTGTCTTACCTCACTTTTCTTGCCTCGATATTGCTAATGCGAGTTGGAGTTCTGCGTCTTCTCTTCTCCTTCGTTCGTCTTCCTCCTGAGCCGCGCGCTTGGACTCCGCAGCGGCCCACGCCCATTGCTGCTCCTCCGTAGGCAAGAACTCCACGCTCTTAGCTTCTACCGTCCCGCTCTTCGATTTCTTCTCTTTGTTACCCTTGTTTCTTCCTATGCCGCCTATCGTATGCACCAAACTCTTGGCGTACTTCACCGGCTTAGGCGACTTCTCTTTTTTACTGGGTAGCGTGTTCGAAGGCCAAGTTTCATTTAAATTCTTATTCTGGTCCCAGTCAGCCGCCCAGTTATCAGATTTCGTCGCCCAATTATCGGTTTTATTCGCCCAGTTGTCGGTTTTCCAGTCCGATTTCTGATTGGTATTCGTGCCCCACGCGTCTTTTTTCTGATTTGTCTGCGATGACGATTTCGACCACGCGTCGTCGGTAGCCCAGTTGTCATTAGGCCACGCCGCCCATGTGTCGTTATTACTGTTGTTATTGGTCGATGAAACGGTGGTATTGGTTAGTTTGAAATCAGAGCGTGTCGCAAAGGGGTCGTATGGTACAGGCGGCGCGGAGACTCTTCCGCTTCGTTTTTCAGGTAATGTGAAGCTTCCATTGATGGTTGAGGACGGTGAAAACAAGTCGTCTGTTTCAAAGCCGGCAACAGTGGGTGGTCTTGCAACGGTGTCGATACGCCTAGCGTCAGTGACGTCGGCGAAGGGGTCTTCGATGTTAAAGGGGTCCTCGTAACGGTAGTCTTTGAAGGGGTCTTCGGTGAAGTCCGTGATGCGTGTCTGGACACAAAGTGTGCGAGTGAGAGGCGCTGTGGGCGGAGCGGGGGCGGGGTGGGGGTAAGGTAAGGGTGGGGATGGGGGTGTACGCACGTGTGTCCGGCGCCGCGTCCGTTTAGCGCTGCAATGTGGGTACAAGCACACGCAGTGTTAGCATGTTAGTAGTGGTTAGGCAGATGGTAGATGATTGTGAGTACACACCATGGCTAGGCTAGTTAGACCCATTGTACAATATTCTTATAGTTCAGTGTCGAATCTATTGGAGTTATAGCACTCACTTATGTTCTCCAACAGACGGTAAATATTTTTCCAGTTTGTAATGCTGATAACAGGCTACAGCATAGCAAACACTACGGTTTCATTTGACACTTCACAGTCTATTAGCAGTAGCTTAAATGTGACGCTTTCAAGTGTAAATTTATTTTACCTATGGAATAAATAATCTTTGACTTTGACTTTAATTAGAAATAATCTCCATTAAAGAAACAGAGAATCAAAACGGCAATCTGTAGCCATAGTATGTACCCGAACACAGAAATATTATTTCATATTTAAATTGTATAATACAAAGTTATTGTTGTAATATAACAAATTTAAATGAAAGTAAATAAAATATACAAGAAACCAAATGAAAAAAGAAGACAGGATGAAAATATTGGTTGGTTTACATGCACTACGAAGGTTTTGAGTGTTTAATTACATGCTACTACTGCGTACTAACGTTGTAACACCAATACAAGCAATAAGAGGACAGTATCGCGTTGGGGAAAACGATGATCCTAAGGTAAGAACTTGCCTTTACGAAATTACTTGTAACGGAACTATACTCATATACATATAATCAATTTATAGATTGTTGCGCAATATACAGGATAACTTAATCACCGTTAAAAATTTTCTAGTCATTAGGTATCATAAAAAAAGTGTCTTTATTTTTGAAAAAAAATTGGTAGGTCAGATTTAAACAATACAATATTTTTATTCGAAACAAGTTCTAAAATTGTTTGGACACGTACGTTCTATACATTCATCAATTCATTCGAAAGATCGCCTCGGGGCTAGAATCACCGTGGGGAGGTATGTCCCGAACTGGGATCTAATCGTTTCCCCGCTCAGTCGCTTGTGCAGAGCCTATTCGATACGTATTTGTTTTTAAAAACGAGCCACACGTTAAGTTCATGAAACGTAAGCGCGACTAAACGGCTACCCACAAACGTAGTATTTTTCCTGGACATCTTTGTCGCGGTCATATCCCAACATTTTAGTATTTAAAAGAAAAATTCATTCTTCGGCCGAGTGTCGGACAATCAACAATACCTGAGGATGCTTCGTAGAGAGACGAAACACGTCGGGTATAATTTTAGTGGTGGTATATATGGCTGTAGTTGCGCTTGTATTATTTACTTTTTTTTTATGAGGAGGGAGAGTGGTAAAATTAACTGCAAGAAAAAAATATACAAAACAAGCGCAGCTATTTTGCACTATTTAACCTACAACATGGACTTCCGCTAAGTAACGTCTTAATATAATATTTTTCCCATAGACTAAAAAGTATGTAATTGAGATCGCGCGTACTTCACTAAATCCTAACTGCAGAATAAATTGAAATATTAATCAATTTCTTTATATTACACAGTTATACAGGGTCGTTTGTAAAATACTAACAACCTCCAACGCTCTGCACTTGGTAATAAGGTAGTAAGTTCAAACTGGTATGACGCTAGCGCTTCCTTTTGTTAACCACACAGAACCATCATCGTTTATAGCAATCTATTTAAATGTTTTAATTTTTATATGAAAGTAAAATTTTATGTATTATTAAAAATCATGGAACAAAAGTTATTGTTTATGACGTTAGTAATATAATACCACGAGGTTGTTAGTATTTAATAAATCACCCTGTATATCTAAACATCTACTGTATTATTGAAATGCATATAAAACGCGCGGCCTGCACTACCCTCTTAATGATGTAGGAATAAAAGCGAACACATTATACCACACTTTAAAAAGCTGACATGTTTGAATTCACAATTTTCACAAAATTTTTTCACACGGGTACGCAATTTTGATCACCTACAAACAATACCATGCAAACTTTAAGAGCACCGCTCAATACCATAAGGGAGAAGGCAGAGGCTGAAAAACAGCACTGCACAGTACCATAGCCATTTCAGCTTAAGCTGAGCGTATACCTTTTGTCTCAATTTACTTTTACTGTTTTGACTTCTTCGCCATGTGTAATTTTTTTAGAAATGTTAATCTGAGACAATAAATGATTTATTTATTTCTTTTATTTAAGATAGTGTAGTTGTAATGGCTTCGAAGGTGAACAATAAATTTTCGAGTGATACGAATATCATAAATTCCTAAGAATTGCAATATTTGTGTTGAATTTAAGACATTGAATTATCTCAATGACTGTGATATTGACAATATTGGATATTTCTTATATATTTTTTTATTTTTAAACTAGACTACTAGACTTCTTACACCTATTATTATAGCTATTATTATTTGCTTTTTGTAACGGAATGAGTATTACGTGTACAAATTATTCCACGAGCGTCAAACACATTACTTTCTATGCCGCAAGACAGATCAGTTATTCAAAGTGCATTCTTGTAACGTTTTTATAACACAAAGACATGTAGTGCTATTTATTTTAAGATATATTATCTGTAACAATTTGAATTCAAATTAATCGATAATAGTAATAATATTCATAATGCAATTTTTTTTAATATGTATGAGACTAAATTCGAGCCATTGTAATTTACATTTTTTTATAATTCACAATCGTATACAGAAAGCAATAGCAAAGGAATTGAAAGTATTTTATAAAGCAGCGATATTTTCTTTTGTTCTTCTTTCAAATTATTGTGTACAAAACTTCCAAGCACTGGGATTTAAGTGTTTTAACATGCTGCGATTTCTAATAAAATTTTTGGCAGTAATAACATTTTATAATTATTCCCGTAGATTCAAATTATAAAAACATTTTAGCCCCCAAAGCCGAAATACAACATTTTAGTCAGCTTACGCGAAGCACATATCATCCATTACAACACCAATGTAAATAATACCAAATACAATTTTTATCGAAAAAAGGTTCACATACATTAAAGAAAAGAATACGAAATTCCGAATAGTAATATGTAAACCACTTTTTACCGTCAAAATTGTAAATTTCGTAATAAAGGAGACGATGTAATTAACTTTCCGAGCATTGATAATGAAGAAAACCAATTTATTATGCAAGGTACACTTTCAATTGTTTTGAATCAAATTTCAGTTTCAATCAAAAATGCACCTTAAATTCGATGACGTGAGTTTGCAACAAATGATCAGATCAACAAGTATATGAAAGGCGTGCAAAGCTAAGCAATATACCCAAGTGCATACACACATTCTTTTTATACACATCCAGTAACTCCAATAACTCAATATGTTAAAGAATACATGCTTGTACGAGTCGTGCAGCAACATATTTGAGAATGGCATTAAATCAAACAGAGAAAGTAAAATAATCTTCTATCATTTTGTAATTGTTTTTAATGGGCCGCTTTCTAATATTAACTGACAATGTTATACAAACATTTCATGAAATGTTAAGTTTTGAAAGTTTGTTTTTAATTATTGAGGTCTTATGTTTTCGGGATTGCTACATACTAATTGACAGCGTATATTTATTTTAACCGACTTGAAAAAAGGAGGAGGTCCACAATTCAAATGTTATTTTTTAGCATGTTACGCTAAGAATCATTGAAATCCATTCACAAATATAATAGTAATATTACATACATTCTGAATGGATTGCAATGATTCTTTTTTATTGGAAAGGGGGTACCTCTTGGGGGCTACCACAACCTCTCAAAACAATATTACTTTAACCTTACATTGACTTTTCGTACCATTGACGCGCTTAAAGTAAGCTTATTATAATGTTAAAACTATGATGTTTTTTTGGCAGCTTTGTGACTATTCATTCACTCAATTCGTACTATGACGCGACTTTAACATAAAAGTAATATTGTTCTTATGTCAAATTTAGCAATCTTAAAATAGTTACACGGATGCAATGGAAGCAATATTATTTTCGAATTTATTGTGTAAATATTGATTTGTAATGATTAAAATTTAAGTTGAACTTATTTATTTACATATGTATATCTCTTCAATATTTTGTTTATTTTTTTACTTACTAGTACATAGGAAATAATTTCTCATTAAATAAAAATACGCGATGATTATTTCGTAAAATTATGACAGTGACATCTATATGCTCCTTGGCGACACTAACAGTTGACACTAGACTATAATTCCGAATTCACAACGTAACAATCAAGACTAAGTTTGTTTTATTTATTTTTCTTCATGGAAAAGCGGAAAAATAGTTGAAAACAACGTAATTTTAATAGATTTCATTATTACACACTACATTTTTTGGCAGTAAAAATTATCTGAATGTAAATAATATTAAGTATTTAACAATATACTACAATAGGACGATTCGGAACATCAAAAAAGAAAGAGACAGCATTGTGCAGTTCATATAGCGTTATTTCTTTCCTATTTTTAGTAAGGAATAGACGATATTGGGAAGTCATTCGTTTTTCAATCACTTTAGCAATAATTCATTATTTGGTTGATAGGTTTCTGAGTAATATTATAATAAGCTTACTATAAGTTTACGTTGAAATAGGATTGTTTTTTGAAAGGTTATGGGGTCCCCGTAGCGGTCCCATTCAAATTTGAAAAAAAATTCCACCTTTAAGGGTGACAAATTAGGGTATGAATCCGGTTTATTGGATTTCACCCACTTTCCGTTAACCGATTACAATAAAATTTGGCAAATAGATGTAATTCCATAAATTTTCCAAAAAAGTTACAATTTTTGCTCATTTGTATATAGGTGCCACGGTCACAGCTGACTCGATAATAGCCGTTGGGACCTGTTAAGAGTCTGAAACGTCGGATTCTTTGAAAAAACAATTATAAGCGATTTTTTGTTCGAAAAATAGATCAATTTCCAATTTCTTTTTAATTATTTTCAGTTCAAGATTAAAAAGGGTCCAAGAATAGTTCATCCATTGTAAAACATCCAATTAATCGGGAAGATACTTAAAAAAAAATAGGGTGTACATGTGCCACATTGTCAGCTCAATATTGTTACTTATTTATTTTATATAAGGAAAAGCTTGACGAAGACACCAAGCAAGTAAAAGCAAGAACTTTATTGTCAATGAAAATTTACAATTAAATTTAGTTCGTTATGTATTAAGCAAAAAAAATGAACTAGGCACATAAGGTCTGGGCCTGAATATCATGATGATTTTACGAGCATAATGATTCACATATTTTTTAGGAACATCCTCCACTAATTTGTTGTTATTATGTTGGCTGTTCGTTGTAATATGTTGGCCCGGAGGTTTGCGCGCTGCACAAGACAAGTAAAGATTACGCTTTTTAAAGCTTATTGTCAATCTTTTTACACGTGCAGTCTGTGTCATGCAACGCGTTCCGGGTGTTGCTAGGGCTGCCGCGCTACTGCAGCGCCTCGGGTACGTTCGCGGAGGCGCACACAAACGGATTTGCAGCCATCATGCGCAAGAGGTGCGCCACGACTCGCCGATGTTCGCTCATTGGATGCGACTGCATACCGCCGTCGCATAGTATTGTAAGTTTCTATTTATTTATGTTGCTGTGTATATATTGTGTAACTAACCCTAAGGCTTTTTTCAAAAACCTATGAAAGCAGCAAATATGTTTATGCCGATAACAAATTCAAACTTTTGACCACAAAAGAGGCATTCATTTAATTTGGCATGTATGAGTTATTTTGTAATAGATTTACATGTAATAGATAAACAATAGATTTAGTTTACAGTTTTCTGTCAGAAGGCGGCTTCGAGAGTGACATTTTATGTCATTTAATAATAAAGCATAAAGCCATGAAGCCAAACAAAAATAAAATGCCGTTCTCTAGTAGAAAGCTTATAGGTGCATTCGTTACGTACATTTTACTTTCTCTGCAGCATACAAAAAAATAAAGGTATACTTTTAAAATTGAACTGTTAATTAAGAACCGTCCGCGCGTCACTTCATGCCGTCAAAACCGGGAGGGGGGGAGGAGGGAGAGGAGAAACAAAATTGGCAAGAAAAAATAATCCGAAATTATTCTGAAAATAAAATATCAGCACGAAAGTGAAAATACATTCTGTAGGCGAGAGGTAAAGGACTTCAGTCCATGGTCTTAACAGACTTCAAAAAAGGTTCTCAATTCGACTGTTTGTTTTTTTGTGTATATGTTACGCGATAACTCCGGCTTTGTGAACCGATTTTGATGATTTTTTTTAGCTGGATAGAGGGTGCCTCAGAACTGGTCCCATTTTAAATTGACGGAAATATTGCACCTGTAAGGGTGGACTAGAAGATAAATCCGGTTTCGTGCACTTTCGGGCAAATGGTAACTCCACGAACTTTTGAGATCGGTTTGTATTTCTGAATTTAGATGTTTTTACAACCATTGCTTTAGAATGCTAAAAATTACGCAACGGTAAAAGACATTAAGTCCACATATTTTGTTCGACTTGAAGATGATTTCAAAAGCCCAATGAAGAGCGTCGTTCCTTTAAAACGCTCCGTAGTGAAAATGACTATCTGGCACTGAAGGCTCTTCACGTCCCGCTACAGATCTCGCAGCAGTCGCCGACGCCCGAAGGGCGAGACGGGCGACACCTACCTTGCCCGGCGGGTTGGGCCGGGGCGGCGCGGGGCGCGGCGGGGGCGTCTTGTGGCTGGGCGCCGGCGCGGCGCTGCTGCGCGTGGGCGCGTGCAGCACGGCGAACGGGTCGCTCTCCCACGCGCTCTGCGGACACCAAGTCGCATCGTCATTACCGCCCCTTCCGCTTCCCGCCTTCGTCAAGTGCCGCGAGCCGTTTTCCTTTACCGTAGGCGAGCGGTATTATAGCGGTATAAACACTCGCAATGTACGTTACTTAGAAGCGGGACTTAAAATATCGGTATTTACAGAAACCGGTACAATCAAAACTGGGTACCGGTACTTGGATACTACCGGTATATATTATACCTATATTTTCAAGAATTGGGTTCACTGACCTTGTAGTATCGGTATCATATTTTTCTGATAAAATACGTGCGCATTTGACTTCCATCTCACCTGATGGAACATAATGATGAGGTAAACAATGCCGATTCATTATCTTCTTGAAAAGGTCCAAGTTATGCCTTTCAGAGAATAAGTCAATTACCAGATATTTCATACGTTTTCGTACAAAACTATTATTCCGGTACTAATTACTAATAATAATAGTGAAAGTATTTATCTTTCTTCACTTTTATACAGAATTACTTAAATGCAATTTAATGATTTACGGCCCCAGGCGTACTCAGCAAATTGACAACGTCGCAAGACCCGTTATCTTTAAGTAAATACTACGGTTTCCCATTGATACCGGTATTAAGATATCGAAATGGAAAATACCAGTATAATAAATACATTTTTTCTTTTTTGAAGTGCATGCAGGTTGAAGCTTACACGCTCTAAGTACTCAACACAGAGCAATCGTAAACAAACTTTATAAATATTGTATTCCTGTAACACAACACGAATGTGAATATTGTAGAAGTTACAAAAATATCACAAAAACCATAAAGGAAAGCTTTACTGCGTCACCATTTGAATAGCCCAGAAACAAAGCAAACAGCTACTCACGTCGTTCTGTTTAGCGCTGTTCTGCGGCGCGAACGCGTCTCCGGCGAAGGGGTCGCTACTCGCGAACGGATCCGAGCTGAACCCGTCCTGCGCACACGCATCACCACGACACAGTTTAGCAAGGCCACTAAGCTACACGGTACAACTTTAACTCTATGTAAACAAACTTATTTCAATGCCACATGTTTGCTCCCATTGGTTGTTTCGCCTCTCGCACCCAGCAAACATTGGTCAAGTGATTGTCAAACGTATAAAAACTAAATCATCAGCAAATAGCAAAATAACACCATATCTTCCAGTGACGATGGGTAAGTAGCCTGAGGTAGTAGGGAATGTCTCCATCTACAATATTTAAAGTACTTTCCCTCCGTGTCCCATAGCTGTGAGACGTCCTTTATATATCTAAAGTTTATTACATTGTTTTACGTTTTTAAAACAATGTAATAAACTTTTATATTAAGTTATACTCAAAAACTCGCAGCACTAACTACAATTTCGTATGTTTCAATGTACATAATATACTTCCTTTGTTCGGTATTTCGCGATCAAAACACGCACGTATTAACTGCGAACCATTACAAGTGTTATATGGACCCTTCGCCACTGTTATCTACGTACTGCTACCATGAATCATTTTTAACAATTACCAAACAAGCCTAGGTTTTTGAGGATATAACACATAAGCAACAAAATCGCTTCTTGTTCAAATTACGCAGGGTTTTCGAGTGATATTTAATAAATTTGCAAAAGAAGCGTCGGCCTCTTCGAGCCGAATAATAAGAGTACTGACGTGTGCGGGCTGCGGGTTGTGCGTGGGCGCGAAGGGGTCATTGGCGGCGCCCGACGAGGAATTCTGCTTAAAGGGGTCCTCCGAGAAGCCGCCGTTCATGGTGCCGAATCCGTTGCCTTTCGAGAAACCGTCGTCCTCCTGCAAAACGTTTGTACGGAATTGACAATAGCAACTTTTATTTTCACATACATTTTATTATTTTTTTACATAATGTTTTTCTATTTAAATTCAATAATTTAAATCAGCTCATTTGGAAAAAGTTTAAGCGCGAAACGAGAAAAACTGGTACTAAATTTGTTTGTATTAGTTTTTAGTTACTTACTTACTTAGTACATTATACATTAAATACATTAAATATTCAGTAGTATTTATTTGTTTAGTTACCGATTAGTTAAAAACCTTAAGTATAAATTAAATATTTAGTGCTCCGTTTGCCGATCGGTTGTAGCAAGCGAATAGATATAGTTTTAGGTGTAGACTGAAAATCAGCAATGCTGAGTCTTCAACCTTTTTATTCACATTTCTGTTTTAGTTGTCGCTGTTTTTTTTATTTGTACTAGTTTTATGTGTATTTTGTGGATAAATAAATGTCTTTTTATTTTATTTAGTTATTATGTACAACGCGCACTATAATTGTCTAATAATTTATAGATTATATTAGGAAATACTGTTTGTGGTGAAGTAGACACGGGATAGCTTTATGTTAAAAAAATAATAACAATAACTTGGAATAATGAGTAAAAAAAATCATTAAGTAGTACGCACCCAAGGTCATTGATTTAAAAACAATTTGAGAGTAATTAATATTTCAAACATAATATGTCTTACTTTCTCAAACTCGTATCGCAAAAAGAGAGATTGTTCAGGAGACGGCAAAAGTTTCTATTTATTTTAAATTTTTTGTGAAGGGTGTTTGTTAACTTGGACGCGTTACTTTAAGAATGGGTCAAAGCCAGTCTGTGAATACGAAGGAAATGTGATGTGAAATGAGCCTCCACTTTTTGCATTTCAGTAAGTTTACGCTTTAAGATAAGAGTTTGACGATATGGGTTTTTATTCGGGAAGCACGTAATACAGACGACAATATCCCGGGCGGGCTCGTCGGAACTCAATTCGACTCTTTATTCTTCGTTTCAACAACCGCTAGTCGAAAGAATATCCGCGAATAAGATGATAAAACGAGTCTGCGGTGAAATTGAAAAAGGGCTCGCGGGAAAAGTGTTGCACCGGTACGCACGAGCGCGTCGTTGGGCGTGGCGCCGCGCACCAGCCGCGCCAGGTGCTCGGGCTCGAAGGCGGGCTGCAGCGCCAGCAGGCGCGGCTGCGCGGGCGCGCCGGGCGCCAGCGCCGCCAGCGCCTCGGCCGCGGCCTGCAGCTGCGCCAGCTGCTCCTCCAGGTGGTCGATCTTCAGGCGCGCCTGGCTCACGGCCAGCACCGTGGCGCTCTGCGCGGCGTTCAGCGCCTCGGCCTGCGCCTGCGCCGCCGCCGCCTCCTGCTGCAGCGCGCGCTCGCGCTCCTTCAGCGTCTGCGCCGCCGCGCGCCGCGCCGCCACCTCGGCCTCGGTCTCGGCGCGGGCCGCGTCCTGCGCCGCCACCTGCGCGCGCAGCTTCTCCACCTGCCGGAGCGCGGGCACCCGTTAGCGCGCGCTCTGCGCTCGCGCCGGGCCGCCGTCCGCGCGGCCGGACCCTACCTGCGCTTTCAGATCGTTCAGCCTCTTTTGCGCCTCGCCTTTTTGGTTCTCCAGCTGCTTCTGCGTCGCCGTCAGCGTCTCCAGCTCTTTCTGCGAAAACGAGAACAGATTTCCATTTTCGACACGACAACGCTTCGACCGTTCGGTGCCGCTTAAATAGGTACGACGCAAAAAGCAAACGATAATAGAACTACGCAACTCCAACACGACATTGAACCTCGAACCCCCAAGAATAAACTTATAAACTACACAACATTAAATATTTCAACTATGCGTAACGTATTCTTTCAACCGCAGCATTCAACCTAATAATTCGTTCACCACTCGAAAGCCATCCTTCTTCACCGGCTATTACTCTTCTATTACCGTGCCGAAAAATCGAGTACATACTTCTAGTGAATTGCATTCTCCAATTTTAACGGTCAGCTCCCGCTGCTTCACCGTCAGCTCGCTGTCCAACTGCAACCTTTCCCTAACCAACGCGTCGACTTCCCGCGCGATAGCTTCCATTTCCGGCGTCGGCTGTGGACCGAGGGATACGGGTTCTGGTTTCTGGAAACACAAATAATGCTAGTTAATATAGAAGGAGAAGGAAAGAAAGATAAATGTATATAATTAGTACATTTATTTGACTACCACGAATGACACCACACAAGAAAAAAAGAAAACAAAACAGAAAAAAGAAAAACAAATAAAAAAATCACAAAACAAACAAAAAAATAAATTAATAATAAGTCTGTAAAAAAAATATTCTAAAATTACAACTTCTGCGTAATTGGATGACAAAAAGCCCATAATGCCCGTTTGGCTTTTCACTTGAAAACCGTTTCTAATAAAACAAATGTTTATTTTAAAAAAGCAACCCCTACATTCTCATTCTAGTCCTAAACCGCCGAAAGGATTTCTCACACATACTTGTTAGCGGAATCTGCTTGATGAGTAGAAGTGATTAATCAATGTGACATTTGAAGTGTAATTTCATTACTAATGAAATAAAAATGTTTCTGATTTTGACTTTGGAACTATTTATTCTTTCTAAATTCAAACATCAGTCGAAATCTGTCACAACAAATGAAGATGTTGATAACAATTTTAGCAATATTCTTACTCATACCAATAGCAGTATGTAATTTGAAAGAACGAATCGATTTCAAAATCGACAAACTGCGCCTGAGGTCTGTCAACTTATATGGAAACGAAACCTTCTATAACACAGGCAATGAGCACGTTAAATGGACCAATCAGCTTGCTTATCCTCGTGAGTAAAATTCTATTCACCACAAATCAGTTTACTATGGTCTCCACACTAGTTACCTATAACAAAATCAGTTTACTATGGTCTCCACACTAGTTACCTATAACCCTCAACAAGTTAAAAGACTTTTTAATTTTGAGAACAAGAGAACATCGCATACGTTGATCTGATCCCAAAGTAAATAAGTTAAAGAATGCACTTGTATTATGAAAATAACGACGGTATCACAAACACCCAGACCTGAGAAAATATTGAAGTTAGTTTTTCTCGATCTCGAGACCTCAGAAAATAAAAGCCGGTGTGCTCTCGACCTGGGTCGTGATAGCCTAATGTTTTGACTTAAAAGGTCGTTTAAGCCACGCATGATTCTAGCATATATTAACATCACAAAAAGTTACTAGGATATTACAAATAAAGAAATAATTTTCGAAGCCTCCAATATAGGGGAGGACGGAGGCACTAAAAAAAAGCAAGACAAAATAACAATTGACTGTTATCACCAGTGCAGTGCTCATGCGGTAAATTCCAGAAGTTTCTCGTCTTCGAATGGTACACTTTCTCGAAAGTTTGAAACGAAGTAAACAAGACGAATGTCAAGTTGATCCAAATTAGAAAGAATGAAATTTTTTATCTATGCTATCTATATGTGTTTGGTAACTCATATTTTACCAATTGTTTAGGCCCTGTGTCGGTTTTTCTGGTTCTTTTGACTCCGGGAATCCGCTGGATGGGAACTTTTTTTTATTATATCTATTGACGGGACGAACAAGTCGTGCGCCTGATGGTAAGCTACACGCCTGTCCATAACAGTTACAGTGCCACTCAGAGCTTTAAATTGCAAAGATCTGAGGAGCACTACCACTGCGTCCGTCACCCTGAGACATAAGTTGACAAGTCCCATGCGCCTGTATTTTCACCAGCACGAACGCAAAACCGGAACGCAGTAATGCTGACGTTACTAGGAACACCGCAAGACCGATCGTTGTCACGGTCTTAAAGGGAGTCTTATGACCAGAAGGGGACGCCTTTCTGCTAAAGTGATGATGAATCCAATTTCATTCAAAGGCGGCGACAAACGAAAACTCCACACTATATCAAAGCTATGGATAAAGTACTACGAATGCACAGCGCGAACTCTGGACGACCTGACTCCGTCGTACAGCCGTCCTGTGCTCAGTCGGACAGTGTATGAAGGCGCGGCCGTGCAAATCCCTTGTATGCTCTGTGTATCGCCTGTGGAAAGGAGACAGGTTGCGTGGTTTTACGCTATGGTAAGAACGACCTATTCACTATATAACAACGCCAGGTCAGGTAATCGTTACTTCTGGATGTATTTGCAAATCGGTCATTTGGTGCTACATTGACGTAATTTAATTTTGGCACAATTGAATTAAATATTAATTAATACAGTGAATAGCGACATCTCTCGCCAGGACTGGTAGCTGTAAAGGTACTAACTGGGTGATAAATCTGTCATAGATTTCTCATAGATGGCGCTACGACTAAAAAGTCGTTGAAAGACCAAGTACAAAGACACGACGCAAGCACATAGAAAAATTCGTGAGGTCCGTTGGTTCGTTCCGTGGCTTAGTTGGTATAGCGTCTGGCACGGTATGCAAGAAGACGTCGGTTCGAATCCGACCGGATCGAAGGAATTTTTTCTGAGTGTTCGATCTTTATACTAATAATTATAACAAACTAGTGGAGTAATTTCACAAAAAAGAATTGAATATCAATTCAATAAAAATTTAATGAATTAAATATGTTAACACAATGTGTTAAGACACTAAATTAAATTTTAACGCATTATGTTAACATATTAAATTCAATTGTGCAAAAATTACAATTATCTCAATGTAGCACCGAAAGAGTGATTTGCAAATAATAGTTTAGTAGTAATAATCTCGGTACAGCGTACTAAAAATACGGAGCTCAAAAGTAATTCATCCCCTAGTTTGCCACTCTTAAAGGTGGAATATTTTCTTCAAATGTCAATGGGACCATTACTGAGGTACTCTCTTTCGAACAAAAAAAGAATCATCAAAATGAGTTCACAAGTGCTGGAGTTATCGCGTAACATACACACTAAAAAATGAACATACAGTCGAATTGCTAACTGCCTCCGTGGCCGACCGGTTACCATGCCGCACAGTGGTCCCAGGTTCTATTCTCGGGCTAGAAGAAATATTTGTATGGTCTACATTTATTTCTCTCGTGAGTTTGGGTGTAATTTGTGGTTGTCTATATGTGTGTCCGTGACACCCGCGACACAGGTTTTCCCTAGTGCCCCACTCACACGTCCCTAGCACACACTCAACATAGCCCTTATGTTGAGTGTGTGCTTTATTATTAAAAATTGAGAACCTCTTCCTTTTTTTGAAGTCTGTTAAAAATAGTTGTTAAATGTTGAAGTTTAAGAACTCTTTTTTACGAAAAATAGTTAATCTTATTTAATATTTTTGGACTAATATGCTTTAAATATGTATTAAATATACAATACTTTCCCTTCACACTATACACACTTACAACTGTATGCATATATTGCATAGATTATGTAAGAATTTATGCGATATAAGAGTACACAATGCAATAACACGATATACATCTAAGACATAAGTATTTACGCGTTTATTTTATTTTTACTATACGTCTGTCACTCACTCGGTTAGGGCCCGTTGAAAACCAGCGTCACAGCCTAGTCTAGGTTGTGACTTTAGCTCAATAGGATCCTTTTGCATACGCCACAGCCGCACACATGTCAGTATAGTAATATGTAACAATGTTGTTGCGCTGTTTTTTTTTTGTTATTTCTGTTTTTATTTATTTGTCTTTTTTGTCATTTTTTTAATAATGTGGCGTTGCAATAAATGGTTTCTATTTCTATAAAATTATAATTACGTCAATGTAGCACCAAATGAGTGACATGGAAACCTTACAAAACGCACGGATAACATATTGACCTCTATTCAAAGGCTATTAGTGACAAAATGAAAATTCGAAAATAATTATAACGCTTTTAAATAACACAAACACGCCGAAAATATTTACCAAGATCACCATAGTGAAGAAGAGACAGGAACGACGAGATCAACCTCGTAAACTAAATTGTGCATTAACTACACTAAGGATATTTGTAAATCATTTCCTTCCTCAAATGCTGTGGTGGTAATGAATAAACAATAAACGTCATAACAATAAACATCAAAGTACCGCGGACGTAATTTAATAGGTAGATGTCCAATTCAAATATAGCGAAAGTATGCAATCGGAGACCACCATTTTCCCTTTATCGGCAGTTGTGCACGGTATCGCCTTCTGCTGAAGATTGCTACGCTATTGTCCTTTTACAGTCCCTCACACACCTAACCTTCGAGCCGGTACAACACAAAGATACGTCAGTTATGAATGACGAGACGCTGACGATGTACCACGCCAACGCCGAGGACGCGGGCGTCTACCGCTGCCAGGTCGGACGGAGCGTCGGCGGACTCGTCTCCCTTGAGGTCGTAGATTATGAAGAAAGCTATAATGTGGTATGTGTACACCGTTGCTTGTTACGTGTGCAGTTTGTGTTCAAATTCAAATATCTTTAATTCATAGGTAAGCAAATTAAACTTAAAATCGTCATACTGATTAAACTGTACTGCTCATTTGTAAGGCAGATTCCCCCGAGAAGAATGAGCAAGAAACTCTAGGGGCTGTTGCTCTTTGTAAATATACATTAGAATACATTTATCATTTACAATATTTATTTCAAAATCTCTTACACAGAGACTACCTGTAAGAGCTAAACGGGTCATTACCACGGATTTTTGTCATTTAAGACATTATAGCAATTTAAAGGAAAACAACGTTATAAAACCACGTCTAAAACAACGGTTTTAGTACATCATTCGTTTCTTGCGGGTTGAGGATTTCAAAGTATTTGTAAATTTGCTCCAACACGCAAGTTTCTTAAGTTTTGCTTCGCTGTGTTAATAAAATCCAAACGAAAGAGATAAACTATTATTAATATCGATGTTTCAAGGTAAAACCCTTCAAGTCTCACGGGCCGTACCCAGCGCCAGCATTAGTATACGAAGGTCTCTATATCTTCAGCGCCTGGTCGCCTTGGACGGAGTGCAGCGCGTGCGACAAAGTCGGGCGGCACCGGAGGTATGGCATTTGCCAAGTGGAAATTTACAGGAAAAAGGTAAATAAAGGCATGCAATTACGTAACAGGGTGAGCAAGGCCCATAACATTGTCATAATTAACAGAACCAGCTGTCCAGGATTGTGAATGTACAGCGTAGTCAAA